TATAAAGCTTTATTTAGTACCAGATACTTTAAAATGAAAAGAAAATTAAAGGGCTCTTATGAAGCAATCTATGTAATGAATTTGGAATTTTTACTGTTCTCTTCCAATCTTTTATATTGTCCTGCCCAGTTATACTAACACTTTTTAAATAAATTGGGAAGAAAAATAGCCAAAAAAAAAAAAAAAAGACAGATCACTGGTGTTAAAGGGAAGAAATTTTAGTTTGCATTCACCTCAGTTAAACAGATGAGGCAGGGTCACTTGCTGAAAACGAGAAAGGAAAGTGTAAAATTCCACACAGACAAGATGAGAAATCAATTAGGAAAGTATTTTGAGATAGCATTATTCTAAGGATATTTTATTAATTTCTAAAATCATTATATTTATATATATATATATATTTATAAATTTTCATAAATTTTCTTATACTTGTTTTCTTTATCTCTTTATAAATAACAAGAGCAAGCAGAGAGCAATGTTTCTCAAAGTATGGTTTGTCTATCCTCAAATCTTTGGAAGAGCTTGTTTAAAAGGAAGATTCCTGAACCCCTCCAGGCCTACTGGACAAACTCTATGAGCTCTCATGCCGGGAATCTGCAAGTGAAGTTTCCAGGTGATTTTTGGGCAGCAAGTCAGCACTTGTCTGAAGATTGCTCTTCTAGAACCACTAACTTAGCTCATGTCTAGTCCAGTGAGTTTATATGTGACTATGCACCCACATCCTGTTTTTAATCGCTGTCTGAATTTAAACTAAAATACTGTGGTGAGGAAATGAAAACAGTGTCTTCAAGTATAGCGATTTAGCATCAGACACCTAGAACATCTTCAAAGCTTTACCCATTTTGTGTTTGTAAGAAGCATTTAAAGTTCACTTGTATATCATTTATTGATAATTAAAAATGTTAGTGTTACTATAATTAAGCAATTTTATACTAGTAAGCTGATTCTCTGGTCATTTTTTTTCTCAATCAGTTCTTCACAGCACCCTGATGTTTTTGGAGAATGACATTAGAATAAAAGCTTTTTAGTGCGGAATGTGCTCATTGCTACTGGGGTATCATTCTTTGTAGGTCCTTTCTACTAGTGAAACATTAAGATATGTGTCTAATTAGCCTATGTCTATGACATGCCTATAACTGATTATGAAATCATCTGTATCTATATGAAGCTTATGAGTGTTGAGTGTTTACTGGTATCTCCAGCTCTACTCCAGCTAGTTCTAGCTTCTTCCTTTGCTGATCTGTGAACTTCCAGCCCAGTATTGAGAAATGTTTCCCATCAACTATTAATTTACTATTAGTTAAATTTCTATATACACAAATAATTATCATAACTATTAACCTGCTTACCCCATGGGAACCAATCTTTTCAACTAAAGTACAGTATTTAAGCATTCTTTTGCTTTTGTCTTCCAAAGTGGCTATACAGTTTTGCATTCCCACCAGCAATGAAAGGGCATTCCTGTAAGTCCCTACTCTTGCCAGCAACTGCTAGTGTAAAATTTTAAATTTTTTTGGTCATCCTAATAGCCATGTAATATGATACCAATTTAATTTGCAAATTCTGAGTGATGGATAATATTGAACTCTAACACATTTGTTATCTGCATGACATCTTTGAAGAGGTGTTTATTGAAGCCTTTTCATATATTTTAATTGGGCTATGTGTGTGTGTTTTGTTTAATAAAATTTTTGAATACAAGATATTTTGTGTATATGTGTTTTGCAAGAATTTTCTCCACGTCTATGACTCTTGATTTAATTAACAGTATTTTTGTCAAAATCATTTAGTTTTAATAAAATCCAATGTACTAGCTTTTTCTTTCATGAGTCATTCTTTTGGTTTCTATAAACACTAATCTTCAAACCCAAGGTAATCTAAATGTTATCTATGCTATATTCTAGAAAGTTCATATTTTATGTTTTATGTCTAGATTTCTTATTCATTTTAAATTATTTTCTGTGAACTATGTAAGGTCATGAATATGAATGTCCCATTGTTCCAGAGCCATTTGTTGTAAACATTATATGTTCTCTATTTAACTATATTCCTTAGTGAAAGCTCCGTGACTGTGTGAGTGCAAGCACTCGATTCTGGTCATTGATCTGTAAGCCTTGTCTCTGCCATACCATACTGTCTTCCTGTAGATTTATAGAAAGACCTGAAATTGTGTAATGTGACTTCTTAAGTTGTTTTTGAGTGTTACATTGGCTAGGTCTTTTGCCTTCCTATATAAACATATATGTATCAGTATCTATAAAATAGCTTGTTGTAAATTTAGTTGGTATTTCACTAAATCTATCAATTAAGTTAGGAAGAGTTAAAATCATAACACTATTTAATTTTCCAATCCATAAACACAGAATATCTATTTCAATTTTCTGAAGAGTCCTTTCATCAGCATTTTGCTTTTTTGCATATATATCCTGAACATATTTCATTTTTTCTTTCTATTATAAATGCTATTATTTGTTTAATTTCAAATTCAGTTGTTCATTGTTGGTATTGAGTAATGTGACCTTGATATACTCACTTATTAGCTCCAGGATGTTTTGATTATGTTATTTAATTTTGATTATGGTATTTAAAATTTTTCACAGACAACCATTTTTCAGTAAATGAAGATGGATTTGTATCTTCCTTCCCAATTTTTATATAGTTTATCTCTTTTATTTATCATATTGTACTAGCTTGGACTTTCAGTGAAGGAGTGAATGAATAGAACTGGTTAAGAGGACGTCCTTGCATTAGGCCTAATCTTATGGGAAAGGTATCCACTTTGTACCATTATGAAATCTGCAATAGGATTTTTGTAGATGTTCTTTATCAAGCTGAGAGAATTACTCTTATTCCTAATAATATGTTTCATGTTCTTTAAAACTGCTTGATTTTTCCAAAACTCTGGTAATTCTTTGAGTGTTATCTTCTGATTTTGCTCATGGCTAATTATTTCCTTTTGTGCTATGTAGCTTTGATTATGAAAGTTTTTGTTTTATTTTACTGGGGAATCAGTCCTTGTCTTCTTTTCCTAAACATGCAGCCATATCAAAGTGACAACACAATATGCCAGCTACTGAATTCTCTGAGCAGAATTTGAAAGCAAGTATTTCCTTGTTCTCTTAAAATCATCATTTCACATATCTAGCAGACAAAAATGGAAGGTTCGTAATAGTCTTGGATTATTTCTTACTCCATTTTCTGGCCAGTTATATAAACGTGGCCAGGTTTTTTTTCATTCCAAAGTTTTTTAAACTCTACTATTTCTTGAAATAAAATTAAAGACAATAACATTACTACTTAATTTTACTCAAAAGGGCTTGACAAAGATTCACTGTCTTTATATTATAAAGTTTGTGAAGTCCATAAGTGGTGGTATGAGCTGAGCGGACTGTCAGGTGCCCCCTGACCTCCATCTCCCCAGGCTCATGGCATTGTGTAACCCCTGCTCTTGAGTGTGGATGAGCTCTGTCACCATGTGTGCAAGCAGAATATGACAAAGGTGATGGGATAGAACGCTGTGGTCACATTGCTTTAGTTATGACTATGACTTGTTTGCAGTCTGTCTTTCTTTGCCTCCATTGAATTTTATGGCCCCAAGAAAATGATTTTGACAATAATATGAGGGACCTTCATAGATCCTTCCCCAGGCAAGCCTCTAAGTAAGAATTCTACCCAAGGCTAGTGCAGCCTTCTCCATTTGTAGAAACTTGTTAAGCAGCAAGATAAAGCTAATACAAATGTAAATTCTCAAGTAAGTAGACAATGGCTTTCAGAGTTTGGTGTCAAATGGTCACTGCAGGTTTAAAACAAAAATCTGCTCTTAAAAGAAGCATTTAAGATTGAAAGGGAGAGAGAGGAGAAACATAGACATCAAAGAATAGCATTCTTTATTTCAGAAAAGTATCAAGGCTTTATTTCATTGCCTATCATTTTATAAGTAAATGAATATAAAGTAGCAATACTTTTGTGACTGGAATCCCTCAATATAATTATGGACTATTTAGTGTACATAGCTTGTACACATCCATATTTACACTTTATGATTAGTACTCACAATGTCCAAGTTTCACTTCTTCAGTTCAAGCTTGTGAGTTTTAATACTGTTTGTATCATGCAACTGTGATCTATAAGCGTTGCCAAGTAGGAAGTTTTGAAATGAGTTGGAAAAATTATAACTGCAATCATTTGACATGGTGGTATTCCTTTAGTCACATGACAGATTAATTCCCAATATGTTTGATTCTCATTTGGTTTATCAATGCCATACTTGAAAGATAAGTGCATTTTCATAAGAAATTGTTGGTAAGTGAAATTCACCAATATTACACATTTTCCAGGTTTGGGTTAAAAAAAATACTTCGTTTTTCAGTTCTTTCCCTAGAAAATTATATCAAAGTGAGTTACTATGCACCAAAAAATTAGAGAGATGAAATTTCTAAAGGCCCACTAAGTCTGAGAGTCTGAAAGCTAGGCTGTGAGAAATTTACCCACATTTCCACTAAGCAACAGTTCTCTTACAATTTGTGAACACACAGAACATGACATAACCTTATTTCCTGTACATTGGTTAACAAGTGCTTTTCTGTTTTTCCATATTATATTCTCACCTTAGGTCCTAATTTTTCTTCTCACAGGCTACTGTGCAGTATGCTTTGTCCCTTCCCTGATCATTTTTGGTTTGATGTTTACTGTAAAAACATAAATACTAAGTATATTTCCACGTAAAGCCACAAGACAAGATGATTACCAAGGCTCTGTTTTCCCAAATGACCTGTGGTAGTTCTCGAAACATTGTTCACATTATGGAAACACTCAAATCATCTTTCTTTACATAAATTTGATATGCCTTTCCCCTGGGCTTGAATGACCATTAATAGGAAATGCCACACTTATGTATACAGATCTTTAGTATGATAATTCTAGTCTACAGTGAGATGTAAGCATATTAGTCAAATCTCAACAGTTTTGCAAGCTTTGTTGAAAATAAATATATTGCCAACTGTACAACCATTCATTTGTTTACATCTTAAAACTTGTTTGTGGAGTCCTATTAATGTGTGTTTACTGTTCCCAAAGATAACATGTTGATCCATTCAGTATTTAAAAATGTGTATATATATGTTTAGATCCCATGGTGATAACTACAGAGAACCAGTGAAAGAATAAAAAATTATAAAATCAGAATAGGCTAGGGTTAGGAAGAAATGGCTTCCAATTGCAGATTTATTGCTGACCATGGGAACTTTTTCAAATTCCAACTACTTTTCTGTGTGTATATGTACAGGGTTATATAGCCAGCATCACATGGGAAGCACCCTTCGTGGTGAGTCAATGGCAGAAAGGAGTGCCATTGTCCTGTGAAAAACTTGTATTGCCTTTCATATGGATGGATGAATCTCAAGCAGAGCCCACTGGATGGTTCTTAGTTCAAAGAATTAATGAAAGCAGATCACAATCAGAAATATTTTCATTTTTAAAATTTATTTCCTTTCCCGCTCTCCTCAAAATAAACTAATGCCTTACTCAGTTTACTTAAATGCAGCAGTTCCACTGTCTGTTTCTCCCAAACACACACACACACAGACAGCTTAAAATTAATAAGGACTATTTTTTACTTTGTCCAGATTATCTGCTCTAGAATGTAGATAATGAGCAGCAGTGTCACCAGAACAGAGAAATCATGGACCTTCACAGGCACTCAATAAAAATGTGATTGGAAAGCTAGGCAAAATATATGAACATAGTTAACAGGCAAAAGAAAACTGAGGCAATAGCTATTAGGAATATATAGCATAAGTGAAGAATAATGTGAAAAAGTCTGTGGGAGACTTTTTCTAACTCTAAGTTTTCAAATATTAGACACTGTGACAAAAAAAAATAAGAACCTATTGACAATACTGTAGGACCTTGAGAATTAAAGATTTATCATTAATGTTCAGGTGGAATAAAAGTTGAATCAGGTACAAAGAATGACATTTCCACCCATATGTTTCAGGCTGCCTACAAACAAGACATTATGATCTTCCTTAGGACTCGTCTTCAGCATATTTCCATGGATTTTATAAGGTATAGGCCTTCATATTAAATTTTATATCTCCTCTTTAAACTATGGATGTGAGAAGTGGCCGATGGTCAGCTTTGCTTTTAAGCTTCCATGGATTGGTACAGAAACATTCAAAATGACTCTTAGTGAGTCTCCCCAGAGGCTACTGAATATAAGCAAAGATAAAGCATTGGAACTTACCAATTAATCTATGGAAGATCTCCAAATAACTGTAAATGTTATTACTACTCCCTTCTTTACATTGGTTCCAAAAGTTCTCAATTTTTCATACAGATAATACAGAAAATAAATATTACTCAGTTTAGAATAAGGCAGCACTTGAGTTAATTTGTTATATTAACCATTTCACTAATTAGTTTTTCTACTGTCTGCTTAGACCTTGAGCTGTTCCAGTTGAGAAATGATTTAAAAAGCGAAACAGTTATAAAATTTAAATAAAGGTCACTATTACCATGAAGTAGGACGTCAGTTTTGCATTTCATCAGTACTTATTACACTAAGCTGGATGGAATTGATCTAGATAAGTATAGATGTATTTGTGCTCCCTCAAAAGCGACTCTCTTCTTCTTCCACAGCACGGTGAAGGCCAGGGATGAATTTCAAAAGTTGCTTTCGGACACTTCCCCTTCTATTTTTCCGAGGCAGTGTCCCAAACATGCTTGATAAGTTGCCCTCCCACAAAGGGGACATGGACCCACTGCTAGTAGTACTAATGCTCCGGTTTCTGCGCGAAGAAGACCTCTTCAGAAAATCATCCCCATCCTTGGGAACAAAGCACTCGTCATCTGTGCTTGTCTGGCGACTGAAGCCTCCCCGGGCTGAGTCCTCAGACATACACGTCTGGTAGCCATCCTCACTGTCCATCGTCATGGAGCTCAGCCAGCTCTTACAGCTACTCTCACTGGATAAGCGATTCCGGTCCAGGAGCGCTGAGCTTGGTCCCGGCAGGTTTCCAAACAAAGTGGATTCATCTATGTCCATGTTTTCCAAACTTAGGCAGTTAGCTGCGTCTCCTGAAATGCAGAAAACCAAGGACTGAATCTAAGCATTTCTTATAAGTAATACACCAAAATTTCTCGTTGAAGAACACAAGAGTGAAGGTGGATGCTATTTTCACTGAGTTTTGACTTACATGAGCATGTAACGTCCTAAAATTGTTGAGTGTCCCCTATTTTTCATGGACTACCTTTCATATAAAAATATTTCATAGTCACAAAAAATAGGAATTTTAGATTAAATACATTTAAATAGGATTCTTTCATGAGAACAGTTCAACTCATCTGACAGTATGCTGATTTTGACTTTTAAATCTTCAAAACTTAAGTGATTCTGGAACCTTTTATTAAAATTCTCACAGAAATGGGATTCCAAAGGATATAAGTGGGGCAATGTTTTCTCATGGATTTCTTTCATTTAGTTCTTCTGATTAAAGTCATCTTTCCAGGGCCCACTCTGGTGGTGCAACAGGTTGAAGCACATCACTATGAAGATATCACCAGTCACTGTAGCGTGAGTTCAATCCCTGACAGGGAAGGTGACCCACATGGTGCAGCAGGCCTCTTCTGAACTGCCCACTGCTTCCCTCAGCAGTGTATTTCAGTAGATGTACCCATTCTGCTCTCCATTCTCTGGTGAATATTCTCATCCTCCTACACCTCTGGCCTATACCCCAGTTTCTTGTGTGCATAAGTAAATAAATGTTTTTTTTTTTAAAGACTTTTATTTATTTATGCATGCAGCATTAAGGTACAGCTAGAGGCGCAGAGATGGTGAGAGGATTCACCACAGAGAGAGCAGGGAGCAGAACAGGCAGATCAGTGAAGTACTCTGCTGAGGGGAGCAGCGGGCGAGACAGGAGAGGTCTGCTGCACCATGTGGGTCACCTCCAGGGCCAGAGATCGAACTCACAGTGAAGCTGCTGTGGCTAGCTTGCAGTGCTACATCTTAACTTACTGCACCACCAGAGATGGCCTAAATAAATATTTTTATAAAAATACCTCAGTGATGACAATAAGCCATTTTTAGCATAATCATAAAATTATTAAAATATCAAACTAAATGGGAAACAGCCATTTTAATTGTGCTGATTATAAACAAGTAATTCAAAAGAGAAATAACTTCCAGTCTCAACAGTCCAAGTTTCTTTGTGGATTACTTAAATGGATGGGAGAGGTACTGTACCCAGAAAGCATCCCTGTGTTCTTTTCCATGTCCTCCTTGCTTCTGTGCCACTTGAGTTGTTCTATCTGCTGCTGATGGAAAGGAAGGGGGTTCTGTAGTACTAGCCTTAGCAAGACATAATTAAAAGGTGACTGCTTCAGGAAAAGTAATAGAACAGTGCACACTAAGAAGTGCTTTTATATTGTGCTGACTATTTCTCAGGCTGCTATACTTTGTCCTTGGTTGACGATACAGAGAGTGTTTATGTTTCCATTTGATTAGCAAGGTCGAGTGGGGCCAACACTGATGTAACTTGTCGCCATGTTTTCCTTTTTGTTAATACAGTCTATGTTATTTTTCCTAACACACTCATGAATTTCTATTCATTTTGAGCAATGGCCTTGTAGAATTCCATGCCCTGGTTATTTATAAAGACAAAATAAACTAAAGGTAAACTCTCCCAATCTCTCAAAAAATGTACTTATAACACCTCTCCAAAGAAAACATGCAGACAGTCATCAAGCACATGAAAAAATGTTCACAATCACTTATTATAAGAGAATGTGAGGCAAGGCCACCATGACATACCGTCTCACACCTGTGAGAGTAGCCCATATTGAAAGATCTGAAATAACAAGTGCTGACGAAGATGTGGAGGAAAGGCAACCTCCTACACTCTTGGTGGGAATGCAGACTGGTCCAGCCCTATGGAAAGCTTTGTGGATGTGTCTCAAAGTATTAAACATGTATCTGCCTTTCAGACCAGTAATTCCACTTGTAAGCATCAACTCCTAAAACACTAACTCTAAAGGAAACTTGCACTCCCATGTTTATTGCAGCACTATTTACTGTAACTGAACTATAAAAACAACCTAAGTTCCCCAGAACAGATGAATAGATCAAGAAGTTTGCATCAACATGGATGGAGCTGGAAGGAAATATGCTAAGTGAAATATTCCAGAAGGAGAAAGACAAATATCAGATAGTGTCCTTTAAAGGTTCAGATAAAAATCAAACTCAAAACCCTGCCCTTAAAAGCAAACTATAAAAGCAGACTATAGAACCAAGACTCGAAGGGGAAAGGAAGAGACAAGCACAAAGTGGGGAGGAAACACAATGGACTATTGTTGTGAATGAGGGTGCTTTGGTGGTGGAACCATTATAGGAATGTCACCAGAAAGGAGGTATCCATGCTTTCAATACAATGCAACAATACCTCATATATATATATATATATATATATATATATATATATATATATATATATATATATGTTATATATATATGTTATATATATATATATAATATATATATGTATATCATATATATATGTATATCATATATATGATATATATCATTTATCTATCTATCTATCTATCTATCTATCTATCTATCTATCTATTTATCTATCTATCTATCTATAGTATCTATCTATCTATAGGGTTTATAGGGGCCCTCCCTGGTGGCACAGTGGGTTAAAGCACAGCACTGAGAAACTAAAGGATTTATAGGATACGTGTGTGTGTGTGTGTGT